GCATTATAGGAGAAAACTCAGAGCTGTTAATTTTGCCAAATGGAGGTTTCAAAAAGCATTGAATAAAAGGGTGCCGTTAATTGTGTCCAATGTGTATTAGGAAAAAACATTTATGTCATAATGATATTTCCCCCCATTTTAAATTCTTATTCTACAATGAAAGGTTAGATTTATGTGATTTTTTAAAATAAAAGATCGAAATGATTAGCAATGCAGATTTATTTTCACAGCCTCCTTTGATCATATTTACCAAGGGTGCCAATAATTCTGACCACGACTGTGTGTATATATATATATATATATGTATATGAATGTGTTTTTAATAAGTCTTTTATGCTCACCAGGGCTGCATTTATTTGATCAAAAATACAGTAAGATGTAATATTGTGAAATATGATTACAATTTAAAATAACTTTTCTATTTTAATATATTTTAAAATATAATGTGATGCAAAGCTGAATTTTCAGCATCATTACTTCAGTCTTCAGTGTCACATGATCCTTCAGCAATCATCCTAAAAATGTTTGCTGCTCATGAAATATTATCAATGTTGAAAACATTTGTGCTGCTTAATATTTTTGTTATGCATTTTTTTCAGAAGTTCAGAAGAAAATAATTTGTGAAATAGAAATATTTTGTAACATTATAAATATCTTTACTGTCACTTTTGATCAATTTAATGCATCCTTGCTTAAAAGTATTAATTTCAATCAATCAATCGACCCCATACTTGTGATCATTAGTGTATTTTCACCTATATTTACCTGTATTTACATTTTTTCTTTCATATATTTGTTTGTTTCAGATTCAAATTGCATACACTGTTTCCAGAGAATCACAAAATTAAAATAAAGAGTTAAAATAAAAAAAATTATTAAATTAAATCATTAAATTAAATTCTCAAATGCTTCATTAGATGGTAGGACATTTTTGCTCTGTGTTGACTGAAACTGCAGCAGTTATTTTTCATCTTGTCTTGTGTAGGACACATTCTGGTATAGATTTTTGTGTGACACCATGTTTGCCATTGCTCACATGTGTAAATAACAAAGCAGTTCTGCCATCTGATAACCACACAGATATATTTCTACTGACTGAACTGCATATACAGTCATACCGTTCAACCGTGTTGTTAACAGTCATCCATTCTGTCAGCGCACATGCCGGATACAGTAAGAGTTACTTTAGTCTGCTAATCAATCAGCGAGATCCAGAGAAACAGACACGCTTCTCTGGGCTGCTGTCACAGACTTCGTTTATCATTACAGTCAAGACTCTCACGATCTCAGGATGGCCTACTCCACATCTTCTGCTACTGCTGATCTTATGCTTTGTCTAATAGAGCACTGTTTGACATGTGAAACTGAAGAATATATCCTCCAGTTGACACAAAATTAGGACATCGAGTGAGATCCCATCCCATCTGATCCCATACACTGACGAATAAAAGCTCTGTCATGTGACTTCTGTCCTGAACTCCTGCGTGTCCATCATCTGCATTCATTCTCAGTTCTATACCTGTCTGTGCATTTGTTAGGAGTGGACATGAGCTCTATGCACCAGATGAAGACCCAGCGCTCATCCACCATGTTGTCTGACGTGAGGCAGCTGGTCAGCAGCGGGGGCAGCGTCAATCAACAGAATGATGATGGGGTCACGCTGGTGAGAAAATACATGAATCTCAAAATGTGTAGCCATTCTGATCTCTAAATATGACACGGTATGTGTAATGTGTACAGATGGTGATTTGAATGGGAAGACTTTTGGCCAAATGAAACATCACATGTGAAGTGTTTGTCTGTGTTTGCAGCTACACATCGCCAGTGCCAGTGGTTATAAGGAGGTGGTGTCTCTGCTGCTGGAGAATGGGGCAGACGTCCAGGTGTCTGACAACAACTACTGGACACCCTTACATCTGGCTGCCAAATATGGGCAGGTACATATCATTTCCTGATGGACACTGACTTTTGAAATCACAGTCAAATATGGACTGAACCAGTGCTTTGCAACTTTAGGCACATGATTGATGGTATTTTCTTCAGGTTTGCCAAACCTCTCTCAGTGATAATTTAATTTCATCTGTTATTTTATTTTGTTTTGCACTGCAAATTAATATAATGCATTTGCATGCCAAACTGTCTTTTGCAGTAATTCTTCCTTTAATTAAAGATAAACATAAAATGAATGCAAATTACATTTAATTTTATAGAGCTATACAAATTAATAAACAAATCTATAAATTAACTTAAAAATATTTAAATAAAGTAAAAAGTAAAAAAAAAAAAAGATTTACATGCCAAGCTGTCTCTTGCAGTAATTCCGTCTTTAAAGATATAAATAAAATACATACATATTACATTAATTCATAGTGTCATACAAATAAACAAATGTTTTAATTTATTTTAGTAGAGTAAATAAATGCATTTTATATTAATTTGAAGTGCTATACAAATAAACACATGCATACAATAAAAATAATTACATTTATTTATTTGTTTATTGTTTGTTTATTTCTGTTGCACTTGGTGTCAAAAATGTTGCTGACCCCTGGACATAACAAATGTTCTGGCTAATTTGAATTTGCATGAGTGCAATGTGCTATATTTCCTGTGCTTTTGTGTTAAGCCCTTTTATCAGATTGCTGTTCACGGTCAGTGGAATGTATTGACATTAGAGTTATCGTAGACCAAATACAGTTCATTAATTCACCCTCCCTTCCTGTTTTTGATTAATGAGACTTCAGCATTGCATTGATCTTACCAATTCTCTGCCAGATGCACTCAAGCTTTGAGGATCATATGAAGTACTAATGTGTTTTATATGAGTTGAATAACAGCGCTTATGCTAGAGGAGATTGATTTCTAGAGGAAAGGACGAACCTGCTGACATGGTCAAATATTTGATAGTGTTTCAGGTTGCTGATGAAGATAATTCCTTCTTTCTTCTCCTTTGTTCTTTTTGTCCCTCAGGATACTCTTGCCTACATACACACCATTCTGTTTTCCTTTTTCCTCCCCTCTTTCTTTTGTGAGGTTAAGGTTTTTGTTAGCACATTTGCAGCCCAGTGCATGGTTTAGATTTTCTCTCCATTTCTTATCCATTTTCTACTAACATGATGCTGGTGCTGGAGCCTCAACTTCAGAGCCCCTAAGGGGACATGGTTATAGAAAAATTAAAAAGAGAGATACGTACGAATCGTTGCAGTTTCCAGTTGGAATTAAAACAAGAGGCAGTAAAACTCCTACAGCTTTTATTCCTTTCCACAAAAAGTATGATTTACAGGGCTAGAGTTTTGATTAGGAAACCCTAATTTCACACAATTCATTGCACAATATTGTATTATGACTTCAAAACAATTTTTACATGCTGCAACATTTGAAAATCAATACTAAATACCCACGTAGAAGGAAGTTAAAATAGCATGATTACTTCAGCGAATGCATTTTTATATAATTTTTGCATTCTTTAACACTATCGGGTATATTTAGGATTGGGTTTGGTGTAGGGGGTATTTCCAGCACCATAGAACATTAACTTTTGGCGACACTCACCGGACATTTGAATTCTGAACTGCCACAATATGTACCTGAAGCAATGCAGCAATACGTGCCTGTATCAATGTAATAAAAATGTGTCAGGGTCACATATTGAATGATCGTTTAAGTGCCACTCACTGGACATTTCACTTTGAAACTGCCGCGAAACATGCAGTAAGGTATGAAATATCGGTGTTGCAGAAATGTCACCACAAGCATGTATTTCCAATGAGCCTGGGTTGGCATTGAAATGTAATTTTTCCTCCCATGTTTTTTTTTTAACCCCGTCGCCATGTCCATCTAGGGGGCTCTGTATGGAACAGTTCTTAAACTAAGTTCTTAAGACACACACTAGTTTGGGTTATGCAATTTGGATAATTGTATTTATTTATTTTTGTAAGAATTTTTTTCTTTATCAAGTATGCATTAAAATCAATAAGACATTTATAATGGTACAAAAGATTTCTATTTTAAATAAATGTTGTTCTTTTGAACTTTCCATTCATCAGAAAGTCCTAGGGGGAAAAAAATAAGATAAATAAATAAAAGCTTTTACAGTTTCCAAAAAATATTAAAAACTATAATAATAAGCAATGTTTCTTGAGCAGCAAATCATCATATGTGACCCTGGACCACAAAACCAGTCTTACGTCGCTGGGGTATATTTGTAGCAATAGCCAAAAATACATTGTATGGGTCAAAATTAATACATTTTTCTTTTATGCCAAAAATCATTAGGATATTAAGTAAAGATCATGTTCCATGAAGATATTTTGCAAATGTCCTACTGTAAATATATCAAAACTTAATTTTTGATTAGCAATATGCATTGCTAAGGACTTCATTTGGACAACTTTTAAAGGCAATTTTCTCAATATTTTGATTTTTTTGCACCCTCACATATTAGAATGATTTCTGAAGGGTCATGTGACACTGAAGACTGGAGTAATGATGCTGGAAATTCAGGAATAATATAATTACCAGAATTAATTAAATTTTTAATAATATTTTTTACAATATTACTTTTTAAAATATTTTTGATCAAATAAACACAGCCTTGTTGAGCAAAGATACTTTTTTCTCTCCATAAAACATTAAAAAACTATTTTAAACTGTATTGTAAACTGTATCTGTGACATGTTATTTTGGTGGGCAGATTACAGCGGTCAGTTACTGTATCCTCTGACTTTGAAGTCAGTTTTTCAGATCCATTGACTGAGCCCTGGCACCTACGACAGCACCATTTTGGTGGTCAAGGTCTATAGGACCTCTAGAGAATCAAGAGTGAGTGTGAGGCTGTCTTCTACTATATTGCTGACAGTTACAAAAATTACTGTGACTCTGGTAGATATGACATTATATATACCTATCTTGATAAAGTATATCATTATGTATTCCCAGGGTACTTTAAAGAGTACAGTGATGTTACCAAAGCACTTGTCCAAAAATAATAGTATTTTGTCCAAATACCAAATGTAATTAGTATTTGTTTGTGGAGGGTGGTCTGAGATTGCAGGGAGTACAGTGTATCTGTAGTCTCTCTCTCTCTCACTCTCTCTCTCTCTCTCTCTCTCTCTCTCTCTCTCTCTCTCTAGATAGATAGATATAATTCAATGAATGAATTAATAAATTAATACAAATTATACCCGTAATATTTAAATAATTGCATGAATAAATTCAAATTAAACCTATAAAAATGAACGAATGAATTAACATACAAAAAAATGAATGAATTAATGAATCAATCAATCAATCAGTTATTTAAAATGCAAGCTATAAAGAACCCGGTAGTCTTTGCAATAATTTCTGACAAACTTATAACTACTTAAACTTCGAAACTATGAATAGTTCACTTACAATTATGTCTGTAAGCTGAGATACGTATTCAACATTAAACAAATCACACACTTCAGCTTTAACCTTGTAATATTGCCATTTCTAATGAAGTCGGCCATCTGGCAAGTTATTCTGTTGTATTTAAGCTGTTTTTGGACACACATACACATACATACATACATACATACATAATACATCAAAACCATGCCTTCACGTTATGCATGCTATGTACACACAGTCACACAGAGTCCTGCAGCACAACTCTAGTGTGTTGGACTCTGACATACTGTGATATAGTGCCTGTCTTTGTGTTCGTAAAGCAAACAGAGGCACAGTAACATAATTAAACGGATAAGCAAACAAATGTAGATAAATATGGCTGTATATCTGTGTGCAGGCTGTAGCTAATGAACACAGTGCTGAGGGTGTGAATGTGAGGTTTTGGCAAATGTTTGGCACTGGAGGCAGGAGCAGAACTGATCTGGCAGCTGATGTTGTAGATTTAGACTCGGAGCTGATGGATGCAGACGTCTCTAAGATGTGACCTATATTTTTTAGTATTCTCTTTGAGTTCCTCTCAAGTCATGGAGATGTGTGTGTGTGTGTGTGTGTGTGTGTGATTAGATGGTGTTTAGCCATCCGTTCCCTTTAGGAATACATGGATTTATTTTAAATGTTACAACAACAACAGTAAGAAGAATAAGAATAATACCATTGTTCTTGATGATTATCAGACTTTCATTACAATATAGTTTATTTTTACTGTATTAGTCAAAAATATTGTAGTACAGTGAATGTAAGGTTGTTCAGTAAATACTGTACATTAATTTTACAATATTTTTTTTATTTTGGTGTTATGATCATTTTCCAGTCTTTCTCTGACATTAGCAATTAAATGGGCTCTTTTCTTACTGATAAGCCTTTTGGGCTACTATTTAAAAACCCTGTTTGCATGTGAAATGAAATACACCACTGTACTGTACTTATTAGCAAATAGTATGCCGTTGTTGTTTTGTTTTGAAAAATAAAAAAATCAAGATTCTTAGTATCTTATGCAATTTTGCTTGAAGTATCTTAAGGATGACCTGGGATGAAACGCAGAGCCAAAGTAAATCCTTTCTTCTCACTTAAAATCTCTTTAGAGAGCAGTGTATATATCTGACTTTCAGAGAGAATGTGTGTGATTGGAGGATCGTTCTCTTGGGTGTCACTTTCCTGCAGTAAGAAAGACAAAAGGCTGGTTCCTATCATGGGGGGATGGGTTATCTGCCTCCCCGACCCCCGATCAGAGCACAGATGGATCAATCTGCAGCAGGGCTCAATGCCCATCTCAGTATGGCCACATCCATGTGAGGAACAGCAGGGGCTGAGCTACAGAGGGAATGAGGGAGTAAATCGATTGGGCCCCAGGGAAAATCATGGCTCAAAATGATATTATAAATGCTGTCTTTAGTCACTAATACTATTTAGTAGAGATAGAACTGTTCTTTTTGAGAAGGAATAGCTCAGCCACTGTTCTTCCTTCCTTCCTATGTTGAAGATGCTTGCTTAAAAAAAAAAAAAGAATCTTTGAAACCAAATTCATCTCTATTTGGTTAG